TATATATATAAAGAATCAATTTATTTTAATTAACTCTTTATCAATGCTGAATGCATTCAACACAATTGTAAGGACATCCATGATTTTAATGCATTAAATACTTAACCCACAAAACTCAAATAGTGCAGGAGACATTAAATGCCAGAGATTTGGTACAACTACCACAACTGTATTTTATGAAAAACAAAACAATGTTTTAGTGCTTCCATTTTACTGTTTTTAGTATGCTCATTACAGTATTTTTCCCTTTATAAACTGGAAGGATACAGAGCTAGAAAACATTTTAGTCTTTCACTTTCAACATGACATTTAGTAAAAAAAGTTACAAAAACCATCAGCTTTTAATAAACAAACACACTGGAATTCTTCAGCTAACGTAACACAGGATTGTTGTTTTACAGCCAATAAAGAACTTCAAAACAAGGAAGCAAAATGCTGTCTTCAACTGCAATGATGTTAATCCAGAGTAATGACAGTAAATTCCATGGAAATAACCTGGAGTTACACCAGGAATAAGGAGGAGGTGATAGCTCCCCTCAGCTTCTGAAAGCCCAGAAGTCTATCATCTAAAAGCTTAAAACAACAGGAAGGTTACATCACAAAATGAAGCAGCAACTACCTTCAAGGGTACCGTGAGATATTTCAAGACTGAAATTATTCTGAGTCAAGTCAAATGGGTTTAGTGCATTATGATTTGGCTTTTGTAAAAACATTTAAATGCACACTACATATAGAACACTTTCATGTTTTGCAGTCAAGTAGTTAAAATCGCTGTATATTCCTTACAGATGACTGAAACACATGGATTGAAATAAAATGGTGCTAAAAATCCAGTTTAAAAAAAGAAAGCGAACATTTTACGAAAGAAATCTTCTACTTGCAACTGTAACTTATGCTGTTGGTGCTCCCATTTGATGGGCTGCTGATCTAACCAGAAAAGATGCACTCATACATATAAAAATCGAAACAGGCAGGTTCCTCCTTCCAGGCTGGAAACAACGTCCAAGATATATGGCATATTTAACCAATAAAAGGGAGCTAAGCTTTACCCAAGCCTTTCATAATGCACTTAATGAAATACTTTTTCTTTTAAAAGAACCACTGGTATTAAATAGAGCTTTTTCTTTACATACAGTATTGGTATATACAAAACAAACACAGAACAAAAACAGATGCAAAAAAAACAAACAAGTGACTTCAGAAGTTCTGAAGCTCAGGAATATTTTGGTACAGGTCCAAAGTCTCTGGGTTTGAGAAAGCTCCCCGCTGCTCAACTTCTTTCCCTGCAATTATCTGCTTCACAGCTACTTCCACTTTTTTCCCATTTATTGTATACTGAAAAACAAAACCAGCAATGACAAAATTACACTTTTCATGTAGTAGCTTTATGGAAATATTCATGAAACCCACCACCAATCCCAGAACTCAATCAAAACTTAGCACAATGTCTTCCCTTCTCTGTTACACTTGAGGCACCAGAATCTTTCTTCTGAAAATCACTTGAAGAGTAAGTGGAATTCAAAGAAGAGTTTATATGTGATTTTAATTTATTACTCCTATTTGGTAATACTGTGAGAACATGATCAAGCTCCAATTTAAACCAGAATGAAACCAGAATCAAGATCATGGTATAAATACTAAAAATCTTTAATATTTTATGTTCTGACACATCCAATTTTCAAACAATTTTTAATTTTCTAAGGGTGGGCTCAAAGCCCAAATCCATTGGGCTTTGGGAGAAGAAAACCATGACTTTTGTATCTTAAATAGGCAGTCTTTTTCTAATAGGGTAAAATGAAACACTGAGCTTAAATGGTCCTCAAGAGTAAAATGTTTCGAAACAAACCGTAACAAACAAAGGCTTCACCGCCACATATAAATCACAAAAATCGTATTACATTGTGTTACTCTAAAAGTAAGGACATTGCAGACAATAAAACCCCTAATTCTTCTCTTCTTGGGATCAGACTTACTGACTAGTACAGTTCAGTAAGGTAGAACTACTCCAATGTTAACAGGAACTGTCAAGGCCCGTTTTAAAAGATCTCTGCTTTTATAGGCACCAAGGCTTTAATACCACCTTCATTTGGGCTGGTACCACTGAGAACTTTCAGGGGACGACAACTTCAAAAAGCTGCCCTCCAAATATCTCTTTAGTCTTGTCTGTCTGCTCTGGGAACAGAAACCACACTTGCTTTACTACTGAATCTGCTGATCGAGCAACCCCAGGTTGGTCCTGGCCTCCAAAACCACTGAAACTCCTGAACTCCAGGCATCACCACTTTTCATTAGCAACCTTTCAAAGCTGGCTAAGTAATCCTCAACTCAATACACTCTTGCAATATTTATCTTGATACTAAATCAAACTTTTCCTTATTAAAACTACTGAAGTCATGTGTAATCCTACCCTCCTGAACCACCTTAATCAACCACCCTCCCTCCTCAATGATTAGCAACCTCATTTTCACAAGTGCTCAGAAACCACAACACCTCAGTGGCCTCCAAGAGAACTGCCCCCTTTAAAAAATATTAGACAGACTGTTCAGCAAAGCAAATTTGTTTACTTTCATCAGTAAACATCTTGTGGATGGTGACCAGAATGTTTATCTAGTCAGGACAGGACTAGAAAGATTCGCACTAAGAGTTTGCAGTATGTTTTTTAACACCTGGATATCTCATTAAAAAGCCACACTTTGTATTACTAAAGTCCTAATCACTTCAACACAGCTATACTATTTCTACCAGTATACAGTGTCAATATACAGTCAGGATTAGATTGTGTTTTCAGATGAGGATTCAAATACATTTCTAAAAGTAGCAGAAAATAGAAAGAGGTTTTCCTTCCAAGCAAAACTTTCAAAGAAAGGTGGGAGACAGCTTTGATCACTTTACCACTGGCATATTTACCTGAAAGGTAATTAAAATTCACTCAATTGTAAATGCAAGGTGTGAACTAATTAATGATCTAAGCAGGCTTTCCTGAGGGGCAGCCCATCACTAACACCTCACTGCCATCAACTTCATGCTGTACATTCAGGTGATTTACACAGCTTACAAGTTCAATGCTTCATGCAGAAGCTAAGTTGCAGCCCAGAAAATCTAGACTTCACCATTTAACAGGTGCAGGGGATTTTACACTCATGCAGAGAAGACATTTTGAGCCAAGTAGTATTGGCCAACAGTGGCCAGAAACAGAAGTAACTAAACAGATCAGAACCAGATCGCTATGGGCACTATGGCAGTCCTGACCACTTTCACACAGAAACCTACATTGGCAGTAAATGGGTTTCAAAATATCAGATGATTGGTCTGAAGTCTCAGGCCTTTTCTCTAGACACACTCAAGTCCATGTGCAAATGGCCTTGAGACAACTGCACCCCCATTCTGCTGCTCATAGAGCTGTTGAGGAGACTCTAGCACCAGAGAGAGTATGAAAAACAGGCATTCCAACTGAAGAGTTCATACAGCAAGCAAGAGCACTGTAGAGTGATGCAGCTCCAGAAGACTAAGCATGCAGAACCTTTAGCTATACACATTTCTCCCCCTCCTCTCTCATAAGCACAAAGATTTTATTTAGTTACTGCTACTGTCTTTAGTTAAGACAGTGTATAGAGCTACATTTAGGTGGCTAAATAGATGTAAAAGTGAAATGGTTTACAAAATGATTTTATAAATTTGCTCAGTGCTCTCAGCCTTCATAAGAATGTCATTCAAAACAGGAAAACAAAACCAAGATAAGCTTATGGGTAGCCAGAAAAGCTAAAGTTAAATTACATTTTTAATATTTTCATTTAAAAGGCTTAAGTATATATTACTGAGCAAACACAACACATTTATAAACTAAGAATGGGCATTTTTAGGTATTGTTAAAAAACAAAAACATGCTTAGCTGAAAAGGACATGAAATGATGTTGCTAGGCAACATAGACAAACTATTTATAAAGCTCGAATACACTTTTGAGATGCTAAAATTTCCACGCATGTGGGTTTGAAGAGCAATGACAACCGCTCCTTAATTACTATTCAAGGTGACAAAGAAAAAAAGTAGGCAACATTTTTCATAACATACCGGAATGCCTTTGGTTTCTAGAATGAGGCTTGGAACATGCCTGGCAGAAAGCGCTATACGTATTGCATCTCGAATTCTTTTCACCAGATCCTCGCTGAACGCATGGTTTAATGCCATCTTCAGGAAGAGTATCACCCTCTCCTCCCCATCTTTGCTGTACTGAGGGACACACAGGCTATCGGAAACCTCCTCAAAGGCTTCAACTGGAAATAAAGGAAGAGTCCTTATGAGCACTTGCATTTGTGTATTATTCTGGATGCACATTTTTTGTGGTTGCACCAAAAGAAATATCCCCTCCCCTAGAGCTGCAAAGGCAAAACAGACGTCCTGGCTAGGTTATTCTACAATGAGCTTCCCCTCCGGGTGCTCTGAAATTTTAACTCCTGCTCAGGTGAAAATCCAGGTTTAAGGACCACATATATTTAGGCCAGGACAAAAAAAATTTGCTATAACTTTTGGGACAGATAACAAGCTTTTACACTAAGCCATTCTCTTTGGCTTTCCTCACAACCCCCATTGCTGCACAGACAGAAAATTAACAGGCCTGATCACACAAGAACAAGGAGAGGCATCAGGTCCTTAAGTCTCAGATTAGCAACCTTTGCAGGCATGCAGTTTCACCACCTTTCACAAGATAGACGTTCTTTGAAACATGAAGCACAAGCTCAAGAACTTAATATAATTATTAGGAAAGATACAATAAAACCAGTGTCCAGAGCTTGTCTTGGGGGAAAAAAAGAAAAGCCTCAGAAGTTCGGTATTCTCTTATAAATCTGCATGATATAATCAGTCTAGATGTAAGACCTTGTTATACGAAAGCAACAGCTTATGGAGAACACATCTCGACCGCTCATCTCCAGTCCTACAGATACTTCAGGAAAGCAACCAATTTCAAGTCTACAAAACAGAATTTTACTGTTAATGCTAATATGCTCTGTACTGTCTTTCATTTGAAAAACAGCAAGTCTTTTATTACTTAGTCCTTCCAAACACCTTTATAATGCTTACATTTCAGATTTAAGGCAACAATGTCATAGCTGAAGAGGTGGAAAGTTAACTCCATACCTATGTTATAGATTTCAGAACTTCCGAATCTTACTCCATTTGGATTTAATGTACCATCACTGAAAATCACACACAAATAAAACAAAGCAGCATTAAAATGTGATTAGAGTTTGATGAAAAGAGAAAAAAATTGATGCAATTAACCAAGTCTCTCTACTTTTCATGCAGTGACTATGTAGCCACATTAGACACAGAATTTTAAAAGAATTTGATTCAAAAAGGCATTTTGCTCATTAGAATGAAGTTGTACAGAGAACCTCAACATTATTCATTCACCTTTCCTAACCCCTCCCCTTTCCAGTAGCCTACAAATAAACACATACCACTGACGACAAAACAGATCAAGAATCTTTGGAGTACTCCATCATATTGCAATTGCATATCATTACTTTCCAGTCTCTTATAGCTGGAACTTGTGTTTCATATATAGCAGCCTCACGCTGTATGTCTGTTGAGTAGGCCTATTTGTGACAATGCCAGACACAGCTTCAAGGCATTCACTCAACTTTGTTCCGAACAGCAACTTTTAAATGCAAGCAGAAATTTTACCCACAATTGTGATCTTGAATGTCTATGATCGCTAACACAAGCACAACTTAATACCTGACGTTCTATAATTAAGTTTTGCCCTAAAGCAAGTCAATGGCAAAGCCAAGACCAGAAGACAAGTTTCCTGATTCACCACCTTGAATGTGCTGCACTCTCAATTCAAACTCTCGTATAGATGATCATTATAAACCATGGAACACAAAACCAAGTCCAATACTGTCTTGTGTTCGCATATACAAAAGTGGGGTAGAACTTTGAAATGGGCTTTCTTCCCTCTAATCCAGCTGCTCTGATTAATTTAAGGGTTGAAATCTACAATACTGGATTTAACAAAACAAATATAAAGCTAACAGGCATGACAGAGAATCATGTACATTATGCTCTAAGGTGAAGTGTGCAAATTTTAACACTTGTTTACTCAAAACACTTTCACCAAAATACTATACCTGCGACCCAGCATGACAATTCCTCCTGTTTTGGGATTAATTTTGCAGTAATCACCATGGGCCCAAACACCTGTTAGAGAATGACAGCGGTTAAGCAGCTGATTTCTTATTCATCCAGTCACAGCAGACATTTGTGTAACTCAACTCACATTACTTAGTAGAATACATACAAAAATGTAACATATCAGTTATACTTTGAGAACTACCCACAGCAAATGTAGCAGTACTTAAGCTACACAAACAATCCACCTTGCATTTACTACAAATAGCTAGCACACACAAGAATAGCTCACATATAAGGATCAAACCCTAGATTATCTTCTGATTGCTCGTTTGCATGACTATAGAGCATCCTTTAGAAAGCAGATGAATAGCTGCTCTGAATACCACATTTTGAGGAAACTGGAAGAATCTTCCACAAAGGTAACTATATTCCCACCAGTCCTTCTTGATCCACTTCTTTTATGATGTACAATTCTGCGCAAGAAGCTTTCTGGGCTTGCACAATAGGTCTCAACAATTCCCTAGGGAGCTTATGTGCTTAATGTTCTTGATTTGTGTTAATGTAAAATGAGATTTGACTTCTCAGAGCTGGAATAACTTTTGTATTATTTTTAAGATTGATACCACTACAGCAGCCTGCCACAAACAGAAATACAAGCCAATTCTACTCAAATTTTTCTAAAGAAAAAACAAATCTCAATAATTTGCACATGCATATGCACGTAAGACCATTTTCTAACTTAACTGTTGCAACCTTAAGCCCATTTACAAGGAAAAACAGAAGAGTGGTTTCAGACAGAACCTTTGGATCACAGTGATTTCAGTCTAAACTGTCACACGGATTTTTTTTTTTAATCATTTATTGTTGTCAGGCTTACATGCAGACTGCAACTTCCACATTCCCTCAATTTTCCTGGATGATTATCTCCTGCTGCACGTCCTGACTTCTCTTGTGAATCCACTCTGTATTGCTGCTATTTATAAAAAAGCTTCCATCTCCAAAAGGAAGCAGCTTGAGGTCCTGCTCCTATAAAAGCCCCGGCCCAGTAGGCAGCAGGGAGTTCAGCATTGCTGTGCCACATAAGCAAAAGCTCTGGATGAGCAGAGTCCTCCACAATTATTAGGAAGAAAGCGTCTGGCCCACAGTACCTGTTCCTTTACTCTTACCACCACTAGAAGACTGTATGAATGCAGAATATGCATGTCTGAGGCAGCATATACGTAAACCTCATGCTAATGAGGTAGCAGGTCAGCACTCATCCCTTAGGATTCACTCCTCCGGCTAGGTAGGAGCAGTCTGGCAGAGGTGCAGTGGCACTTATTAATGGAGGATTGCTCCCTGACCTATTCAGCACTTTCATTTCACACTCATGCCAAGCAGTCTATGTCTGCACTACAAATTATCAGACTGTTACAATCATATCTGCCTAATGACAGCAGGAGCAAAATGGGATTGGAGCTTTCCAGAGATTCTTATTAAACTGATTTGGATCCATATTCAAAACAAAGCACTAGAAAACAGAGTGAGATATTATGAAACATGCCATGGAGTTCTCACCCTGGAAATCTAGATGCAAAGCTGCACCTGCCTATCACTGGGGAAGAATAAACATGTACCTTCCTAACAGCAGCAATACAATCTATATCCTTGGTCCGTTTGAGCAATATCGGAAGCCCTTCATTACATACCTGGGAATTTTGAAAAATAAGCCTTCCTGTATTTGTTTCCATTCTCATCGTTCCAGAAGTGCGTAGGCTGACACGGAATAGGCTTGGTACAAACCAGCTCTCCACTTTCACCCCAAACTGGCTTTCCTGTTTACAAACAAAGAGGTATTTTCTGCATTTCCCTTCTGCAAACAATACAGTACCAAAGCAAAGAGCATCTACAGTTATTACCTACATGCCACATGCTGATGTAGATATGAGATGAGCCGTGACTAGTGGTCTTAACAGCTTTTGTTCAATTCTTAAACTCATCCCTATCTTAACCTCAGTAACCTCAGGAGAGTTACACCACAGGGTGAAACCAGCCTGCCATCCACAGCAACATAGCTAATTAGCATGCACACCAGAGGCTAGAATTTGGCCTGATGTGCTTTATCAGAGTAATGGAAAAGAAGGGCCTTTTTACACGTTTATTATCTTCATCAGAGTTCTGTACAATCCAGATCAAATGGATCCAGATCCAGGCTTTACAGAACACGTTTCCAAAGTAAAATCATCCATTTACAGCTGTTTACCTATCTGATGACTGAAACATAAGGCCATATAACTACTGTATTATATATAAGTGTACATAATATTTTAGATAATAGTTACCTTCATCATTCCATGCTTCTACAGCCATTGCAAGATTTCTGGCCTGAATTTCTCCTTTGTAAACTGGAATTGTAACGTTCTGACCCATGAAACATGAAATTATATCTGTCCCACCTACAATAAAGAAGTCTATTAAAATATACCGAAAATGCTTCTGGAAAAAGCAAAACTCTTCTAGAGAACAGCAAGCTGCCACCTTTGCCAAATGCTTCTGATCCACATAAAACAGCATAGCATATACAGTCAGTATTATCTAGGATGTTACGTGACTTAATAGAAAAAGGTTTCTTTTCTTACTTTATATGTCTTTTTATATTTGTATGCCCTTCATGCAGAAATATTCCTTAAGGCAAAACTTTTCCTCTTCCAACAGTTTCTCTAATCTCTTTTAAGGAAGTTTCCATTTATATAAGAATGAGAAAATAAAGAGGCCCTAGCTCACAGACTTAAATATTTAAGATCACTGAGAAATGTTTTCTTGTTTGTTTTCATTAGTTTAAACTAACCAATCAAGCTATTCCACTCAATGTTTACTTAGCTTTTACACCTTGTTCTCATTAGCACAGAGGCTGGGGGGAACCATGCCTATAGCATGAACAGTTATCTTAATAAAAATAGATACTGTCAAAGTGCTTACTGAACTGGAATATTTATAGTCTTTCTATGACTTCAAGGAAGTAGAATTGTAACATACAAATCAATCTGTTAGCTTTACTCATAAAAATAGTCTTCTGCATTTGAGACTATTAACATCTATAGTAGCAAGTTCAAGATTCAGCACTACTGTTACTAAGACCAGAGTCAGAGGTGACTTTAGTAGCAGAATAGTCAGACTTTAAAAATCAAACTAAACTGAGTTAAAAAGCCCTTTGAAAAAGTCAGTCCTCGTTACAAAGCAGAATGAGGAGTTCTGTGGTGGACTTTACGTGAATAGAAGTTGCCTCAGCTAGCACTCCTCACAACAAACTGCACAGTATGTGGGCTTGATATTTCTCTAATTATATAATTTACAAAAAAAAACTGTCTGCAGTGCCAATTACTTGGCACAAAAGAATTGAAATGGGAACATGGAAAAACCTCTCCAAGAGGTATTTTCTGCTAAAGTCAGCTATTGGCAGAACAGTATGTTCTGTAGGTTAATAGACTCTTCTTGATCTCACCCTGCTACCCCCTAA